GGTGTTACTGCGGATACTGCCCACTGGCTCTCCTTGGCCAGAGTAGGCATGAGGGACGAGCTCTCGAAGAAGCTCAGTTATTTGGTGAATGTCGGGAAGCCGGAGGTATCGTGGGACGAGTGGCTCGTTTCGATGGAGCGCATGGCTCCAGCATCGGGGTCGCCATCAGTTCGCTGTGTGGAGGCGCACCAGGCGGTGGCCAGCTCTGAGGTTCAGGCGGTTCAGCCTTCAGGAACCAACACCAAAAAAAGTGGCTTTCGAGGTCGCTGCTTTTCTTGCAACCAAGTGGGACATATGAAGAGGGAGTGTCCCAATAGGCGACAGTATCGTGGACAGTTCGCGAAGGAAGCCATGGCTGCGGAGGGTATCGAGGAGGTCGAGGATGGGAGACAGTCCAAGCCGGAAGCCGGCGTGACATCATCGGGACAGGCGGAGGCCCAAGGGTCTGGGACTGCCATCAAAATCTCCACCACACCCGATATTCGTTGCCGTTGGAGAGCGAGAAGGATACACGCCTAATTTATCCTTAGATTTCATTTTTTGGTAGGGGCCACGGATCTCTTGCTCAGACTGTACTGTCTGACCGCACCCCACGTCCACGACTGTGGATAGAGATAACCCCAATGTAGTAGGACAAAATGGTCTAGACCCATAGGCATAGGTAATGTTTGGTGCGAGCGTAGCGTAGCACCCCGCGTTAGCGGTTGTAGGCGGTGCAAGCGTAGCGTAGCACCCCGCGTTAGCGGTTGTAGGCGGTGCAAGCGTAGCGCAGCACCCCGCGGTCACGGAGGGGATAGGTGAGAATAGCAGATCCCGCTCAGGATCGTGGATACATGATGCGACATGACAGTAGATGTCCTCATTGAACTGCCATTCTTCGTCATTAGTATCCTCTCGGTAGTCGTAGATCACGCTAGCAGAATCGATAGCTTCACTTAGTTTGTGGCCATCGAAGTCTCTCCCCATTGCATACCGAGATACAGAGTCCGCTGGATTGCATCCAGAAGGAATATGTCGCACCGTGGCATCGAGCTGAACGCATAGATTACGTATAGCTTGAAGCCGCCTTCTTTCAGGTGCTGGAAGTCGAGTATCGTTCGATGGTCTCTTTAGCCGATATACTGTGAGCTCCGAGTCGATCGCCACAACCAGTCGATAGATAGGTACCCCGGGGCTGAGCTTACTCAATGGGGCTTGGTTCTCCCCATAGATGCTCTTGATCGGTAGATATGCCGATAATGCCTGGGTCCAGAGCAAACCTCGATAAAGGGCATCTAGTTCCTTCCTAGGGATGGACCAGGATAGAGTGGAGTTTGTATATAAA